AAGATATTCAGGCAAATATTTGTGTCAAAGTTTAATATCTCCTTCGGTTACCCACGAACTGAAACGTACTGTTGGTGTGACGAGCAGAAAGCCAAAATGGTTGAGCTTGATAGGAAAATTGCCATTTCAAAAAGTGATAACAAAAAAGTAAAGTTAGAAAACGATATAAGGAAGCTAAAATTTGAAAAGAGACTCCATTAGAAGAAGGCGAATTGGTTTTATGAATTAAAAAGGCGTGCAAAAACTGAAGCTAGAAAGTAGTCAACTGTAGAGGCTATCGCTATAGATTTTGGAAAAAATTTTCCTAGTCCGAATATAACTTCTGCTGAAGTGTACTTTAAAAGGCAGCTATCGTTGTATATTTGTAATATTCATATTTTCTCAAATGGTGTATCAATCATGTACACGTACGACCAAACCATCGCAAAAAAGGGGTCAGATGATGTTGCCTCAATGCTCTATCATTTTTTTAACACCTACCTGGATACTGGTGTTAAAAAACTTTATCTGTTTGCCGACTCTTGCGGAGGACAAAACAAAAATCACACTATCATCCAGTTTTTCCACTACGTAACTGCTACACTAAAAATATTTGACACTGTGAAAATTACTTACCCAGTGCGCGGCCATTCCTTCATGGAACCAGATAAAAACATGGGATTGATCCCCAAAAGTGCAAAGACTGAAACCCCAGATGGCTGAAGAGAGGTTATAGAAGCCGCGCGAAATAAGCCACATCCGTTTGTTGTTGTATCATGTGAACAAATTATGTTTAAAGAGTGCGGTACATTTTTGTCCTCCAAGTTCTACAGAAAGAAATTTTCTTTTCCTATTCGGCAACTAAAACGTTAATGTTTTCTGAAACAAAATGCAAAACCGTGGATCACAGGGAAACATATAACGGATCTTTCACGTCATCCTTAGTAAAAGATCAACGGAAGAACCAGAAGGGGAAATCAAAGGTACCTGATCTTCAAGAACCCAATCAGCTCTACCAAACGCTTATACCTTTACCAAAAGAAAAGTGTGCTGATCTAAAAGTTCTAATAAAATTCTGCAAAGAAGAGGGATCTAAAGAGTACTACAGCTAACTTCTTTCTGCCAATCAGCCTGAGTTACCATCTGAGCCCGATAATGTTCCCGACGATAAAAGCGATTTTTAAAAATCAGATTTAATTTAGTCAGTAGTTTGTAGCTTGGTTTGTTCTTTTAATGTGATGTAGAAATGCCTTACAAAATAAAAAAATAATAAAAATTAATTTTTTTTGATCTGTTCAGGGGAAGAACCAACTCAGTCCACATTTTGTGTAATTAAAAAATTTCTCTAAGAAATAAAATTTCAATTATAAAATTATTCCAGCTATTTATAAAAAGTACATATCGAACTAAATATATAAAAATATTTAGCTAAAAATGTAAAAAAGCATAGGATTCTTATCGTTTAATTTTTTTTTCTTTCTCCTGAAAAATATAGTTTTTTGACTAAGTTGCCTTTTCCCCTGTACCCTTCAATTGTCAAATCAAAATTTTTTATTTCTTAATCAGTTTCAATAAAATATTTTTTGTGCATAATTCATATTAATTTATGTATGTTGCCTATCAAGTAATACATGATATTAAAGTGACGAACTTATATCCACAGGCACCTTTGGCCAAAGGGTTTGAAAAAAACCCAAGTTCTTTTAGGCGCAATATAAAAATATTTTAAAAAATCCAAAATTTAATTTGTCATAATATTTTTAATTTATCAATAATTTTATTATGTAATTTCGCTTGTAATTGCGCCTTTGAATTATTTTCTGAACCGTTCTCTATAGCCTGCTGCGTGAAATAATTCTTCTACTATGGTACTAACCATCATCAACTCTCGAAAGTTACAATACTTCGGACACATTATGCGAAATGAATCCAGTTATGCCCTCATACAAGCCATCCTGCCAGGAAACATATTTGGAAAGCGAGATCTAGGAAGAAGAACGTTCTGGTTAAATAAACACAGAACCTGGTTCAACGCAACATCCGTGCAGCTTTACCGCGATGCTCCAGATAAGATAAATATTGCCATGATAATCGCCAACATTCGTGAGGGATAGGCACATCAACAAGAAGAAGCCATTTAAATCCAAGCTTTTTTTATGATTACTTTATTGTTTTTCAAAGGCCTTTAAGGTCAATTTATAGCTTTCCATCCATAATCTAATCGTCGAACCATTTATGCCAATCCCAAATAGGCATCTCAGAAATGAGATTTTTGTATGCTTCGACCGCCTTATCTAGCGTCTTACCTCGTTTTTGTTATAGAGTAGTTTGTTTTTGATTTTCGGAAATTCGAAGAAATTGCGGTACCAAATCAGAACTAGCAGGGAATCATGGGTAGTGGGTAGACACTTTTCTACGATCCTGGGGAAAAATAGGTCTACTTCAGCGAAGCGTCCCTGCCCACGCGAGTCATGCTTTGCTCTCAATTCTTTACTAAGAGAAATCATGTTCCATTCCTTTATCCTTTTAAAATCTAGTTTTCTACTTCCTACCCCTCGCTGGTGAAGGGCAGCAGCAATCATCAGCACCAGTTCAAGGCGTAGAGGAAATGATCCTGGACTGGCTTGATACTGGATCACCACAAGCATAACTGAAGCAGTTTAAATGGTTGTGGTACTGCGATGAAGAAGGCAACGGAAAAACCACCCTATTATATTTTCCAACGGAAAAACCACCCAAGAACGTGGACAGAGAATACAAATATACTACCGAATAGTACGCATTGCCGCCTGAAACGTACGCAGCTTATTTATGCCCGGGAATCTGAAAAACACTAAAGCCTAGATGGTAAGACTAAAAATAGACATCTTGGGGATGAATGAAGTAACAAAAGTAAAAGCCTAGACTTAATAGCAGCACTATTCAATAAGATATATGACACAGGTAAAATACCAACAGAGTGGCTAAAATCAACATTCGTGGCATTATCAAAAAAATCAAATTCCTCACAATACGATGATTATCGAATATTAAGCTTGATGTCTCATGTCCTTAAAACTTTTCTCAGAATTATCCATACACGAATTTACAAGAAGTGCGAATTTCCAGATGAGTGACACTCAATTCGGATTGGGAACACGAACGGCTCTTTTTGCTTTAAATGTATTAACGCAACAATGCAGAGACATGAATGTAGACGTATATGCATGTTTTATTGTCTATCGGAAATCATTTGACTGCATAAACCATTAAAAGATGATCTAAGTTCTGAGAACAACTGGAGTTGACGAACAAGACTTGCGAATTATCTCAGACCTATACTGGCACCAAACGGGAATAATTGAAATAAAGCACACGACATCCGAAGATATACAAATCCGACGAGGAGTGAGACAGGGTTGCGTCTTATCACCGCTACTGTTTAATTTGTATTCGAAGTCTATACTCAGAGAAGCATTAGACGAGGTCCAAGGCGGAATTAAGATTAACAAAATCAGCATAGACAACATAAGATATGCTGGTGATACGGTCTTAATGGCAAGCAACGCACAGGAACTACAAAATATAACCAATGCGGTAGTTAACGACAGCGAAATGTTCGGTTTACATTTTAAACGTTTCCCAAACTAAAACTCTAGTATTTTCAAAGACACTCATATAACTAGATTATTAAATTTTTAGGTATTCCAGTACTAAAAGGTATTTTGACTCTAAGTGGATAGAAAACACTAGTTTCTATAAAAATCGATGAAAATTTTTCGTTTTTGCGTCATAAAAAGTGAATAAATATTTTTTGCACTAGTTGGCCGTGGACCTGTCATCAGAAGTGTAACCAACGTTTTTCATTGTCAAATTGTGGTCAGTTCGCGAAGTTTACCTTTAAGTTTTTTTTACTTTGTGGCATTCAAATATAACAACTTTAATTCGACAAAAATGGTTTTCACTGGTGGAGAATATGCTGATAAGCTTTAGTTTACCGCGAAATGAGGTGTGACGCCCGAGCAGCACAACGTAGATACCCTGAAAAATATCAAAATTGTGGTTCCACGTACTCAAAATTTATAGCCCTCTATCAACGATTAAGAGAAACAGATTTAATGGTCCTAAAAAATATTGAAAGAGACATGATAATGTAACAGCAGCACATGAAGAAAACCTGCTTATCTGGGTCATATATTTCGAAATTCCAAGTACCAGTTCTTAAAGCTTATTATGAAAGAGAAAATAGAAGGAAAATGGGGCATCGGAAGAAAGAAATACTCTTGGCTTAAAAACATAAGGCACTGGACAAACCTCAGTGCTCATGCACTCTTTAGAGCCACACAAGATCGAGAGGAGTATGCCAGAATTATCGCCAACATCTACTAATTGGATAGGGCACCATAAGAAGAATGGATAGTTAACGATTATCTACTTGGGTCTGTGGAATTGCCTGCTTGTTTAAATGGTGCTGATTAACTTACATTTTCTGCAAAATGTTTTACCTAATTCGTTATATGATGTGCCTTTAAATATTCGGCAAAACTTATGGTTTCTTCACGACTCTCTTACTTTATATCAACTACGAAGACGACTGGATTGGATGGGGCTGTCCAGTTGCCTGGCCAGTAAGGTCATCTGGGGTTATTAGGAGATACATAAAAGCATTTGTTTATTCCGTTCCGATACAAAATCGTGCACAACTCTGCTAACTCGCGCAAAATTATGCATAGAGACTAACGGTCATCACATCGAGCATGTGTTGTAACTATCTACTTTTGAAACTTGTGTTTTTTTCTTTTCGCCTTTGTAGATTCGGACTTATAGGTTGTCAGATTTGAAAAAGAAGAATTGTGATCTTACGTTTTTCATTGGGTATTTTTTCTGCATATTTATGCTACATAGATAGTGTTTCTAGTTAAAATAATACATACTATTCTAAAATATTTCCCATTCAAAAGTAAAGCCATAGTCTAACTCAGTAGAGTTCATGAAAATTTTAAACTATTTTTAAAGCAATTTAAATATTTATTAACACTCACCAGATTCTTCGATTCCTAGGCGCTCCATTAGCCATTCAATTAAGTCATACCCTGAAAGTAATTTTGGTTAATACATTTTATTATTATTTAAAAAGGATTTGAAAATAAGTTTTATAAGTTTTAATCACACTTTTAACAAGTGTTATTAACAATATTAATTAAGATTACGAATTAAATATCTATCAAAAATAAACACGGCAAATAATTATTAAATTTTAAAGTCGATAATGGCTCATTGGTATTACCATACAATATCCAGATATAGTTTCCAATTGTTCACATTATTTTCAAATAAACTTTGTAGAAGTATCTACCTCGTAACTTTTGACGTCGAACTCGGTGGTAAGTTTCTATTAGTTTGTTAACAAAGTTTTGCATAAACATATATTTTAACGTTGTTATTTTAGCCATTAGCATATTAATCTACAGCATAATATTGTTTGCAGTCTTCATTGGCTCATAAATGGTTGCCTGGACAACATTTCCATCTCGTTACAACTTCGTGTTTTACGTTTAACTATATAAGTGGTGGATAGTTACCTGAACGTAATTTAAATACATTGTAGGACATTTTAAGTTTAAATATTGTTACGAAAGTTTCGTAGGATTTGTCCCATATGCCTTCATGAAATAATATTAAATTAAATAATATTCCCAGTTAAATAGTAATTAATTTAAAATGCCACAAGAAAATAGCTTCAGAACAATAATAATGAAAAAGATAATGTAAACAAAAAAGTAAGTCTCCCGTTAACCAAATATAAACAAAAAGAACAAAGTGATAAAACTTTCGTGGATACCCCCTCTGTGGCTCAGTGGTAAGAGCGCCTACCTTTAAACCTAAAGGTCGTGAGTTCGAATCTCACCTGGGTGGAAATTTTCGTTTATTAAAACAATTAATAAATGAAAATAATTTCTATCCTTGTGTGATCGGTACTCACCGGAGGGACCGCAGACGTTCGGATATAATTAGCGTCTCTTAGCAAAGACAATGACGTCGACTTTGCTAAGTATCAAGACAATTACTCTACACATACAAACACACACTACATTAATAAACTTATCTTGATTGAGACTGGCTGAATGACAATTGTCCAAGCCAAAACACACAAAAAAAACTTTCTTGGAAAATCTAAAAAAGAGTCAAAAGAAAAACAATAACTTAAAAGTCTTACGAGAATGGCCTTAAAATGGAGTAAGTGATCAAACTTTCGTGGAAATCTAAAAAAGAGTCAAAAGAAAAACAATAATTTAAAAGTCTCACGAGAATGGCCTTAAAATGGAGTAAGATCTATTTGGTAAGAAATAACTAAATACAGTAAAACTATAAAGACGTATTATGCTCAGTCAAAATCTCTGTATCTTTTTAATGATCTTTTATACAGGAAGTGAAAAAAGTCCCGATCGAGTCCGTACAATTCAACAAGTGGTACTACTAAAATAAAAAATTTTAAAAAAAATCCACAAGGAAAATAGTTCCTGTAACTGGCTGTTTACCACGTATCACAAAAAAGAGGTTAGATCTTTGTAAATGGGTATATTTAAAAAACCCTTAAAAGGGCTACATTAATTACACGAACGTTTTTGGAATAATAATTCCATCGTCATGTTTTAAAATGCCTAAAATAAGTATAAACCATTTAGTTAAAGCAAACGTGGCGTGGTTTAAAATTTTGACTAAGGTTAAAAAAGAGCAAAAATGGTTATACTTACAAATTAACATGCCTGAGCCACCAAAATATCAGGGTAAAAACCCTTTAAAATACATATGGTTGCATAATGTTGATAATCACATTTGATGTTTAATATTAAATTAAATTTGACTTCAGGTAACATACACCCATATCTTAGGTGAGTTCCAGTGACCGGAGAGTAAACCTCTTCAAACGGGTTTCAGCTGGTAACTGATTGACAGGATACCTATGAACGGTGTCGAAAACAAAATGTCAATGTACAATGAAACAGAATTAATTATACATTGTATTACTACAGCCAAAAGATTCAAAAACTTTGATGATGTTAAAAATAACAGCAATCCAGGTGTTCGGATTTAAAAATTGTTTTAATTATTTAATTTTGGATATAAAAGATGTGAAATTACCGATGCTGTTAAAGGTCATGTTTAAGAGAATGACGTGTACATTAGGCAACCTATGTTACTCTTTGTCATGTGAAGTATGGTCTAAAAAGTGTAATTTGTAATAGATTAGCTTAGATATATGAAATTGTCCTTTTATGTTGATCACATCTAGGACAAGGTAAAATTAAATAGTATATATTTGTAGCTAATGTAAGACCTTGTATTTAAATGAAATTGTTTAATTTTGTATGGTAGAAAGTTAATATAGGTGGGTCTAATAAATTGAAAAAAGGGGGTTAGAAATCTTGCAGCTGAAGAATTAAAGTTATAACCTATGGAATTAAATTTAAAATTGAAAAGGCTGAGCTTCTCAGAGACTTGATAAGAATTAAAGTAATGAAAAAGGGGGGGATTAAAGAAAAGTAAATGAGTTAATCAACAATTAAAGATAATAGAGGTCCTTCATGTTGAAAGCATCTAGCACCCTGAACAAGATCTGTTTTGGTTGTGTTAAATTCGGTTGATAAAAAACCTGAAATTTGATGTGTGAGTGTGCTACTAAGTTGTTCACCAAACATCAAAAGAAACAATGAATTCTGATAGATTGTTAGATTATGTTTAAATGGTTATTGAGTTTAAAACTAATGAGTACCTAATTGATATATGAGATGACCAAGAAATAAAGAAATAAAGAAAGAAAATAGAATGGAAAAAAGAGTGGAGAAAATAATGAAATAGTGTGGTATGATGGATGTTGGATGATTATGAAGTTAACAATAAGGTCGGAAATAAATTGGGAGTCCCTCCAAAGGCATGTTAATTTGTAAGTATAACCATTTTTTCTCTTTTTTAACCTTAGTCAATTTTAAACCACGTTTGCTTTAAATAAATGGTTTACACTTATTTTAGGCATTTTAAAACCTGATGATGCAACTATTATTCCAAAAACATTCGTGTAATTGATTTAGCCATTTTAAGGGTTTTTTAAAAATACCCATTTACAAAAATCTAACCTCTTTTTTTTAATTAAAAGTATGTTGCAAAAACTTCTTAGCAGACTTTCTGAAAGCCATTTTGAAATCAAAAGAACACTGGCCAGAGTTCGAGACAGATTTTGTTGTATCAATTATCGCCGCAATTAAAACATTGGTGTAAGAAATAAGATTTATAAAATGGTAAAAAATACCCTAGAACAAGGAGTCGTAGCAGAATAACACAATATCTTTCCGGAGAGTCTTTTAAATTTTCGATGACAGAGAGAAGAAACAAGTGATCCTAATGAGGAAGCAACTACAAAAGCAGAAGCATTAATCACACATGCATTATCAACACATATGGAGTATCTTTGGATTTACAGTCTGATCAAGGACGAAATTCGAATTATAATTATGGCAAGAATCATTAAAAATATTGTGTATTAACAAACTCTCACCACACCTCTCCATACATATTCAGAATAAGTGGTCAAAGACATAATAGAACTGTTTGACAATCCCTTTCAATTTGTATCACCCGAAAGAAAAATTCGGCTTCGTCAAGATCTCATTTTCGAAAGATGGCCTCCCTGCGAAGAAGAACGTTCATTCCTGACGTACATTTAAAATTAAAAAAAAAAAATAAAAATGTCTACGAATTTGCTCGTATAAGTTTAAAGCTTCCAACTGATAATGCCAAATCCAGGCTGGATATATAATTATACTGATACAACTTTCAAAAGAGATGGTCCAGTATGGTTATACATTCCCGCACGTAAGAAAGGACTTTGTCCGAAACTTCAACGAAACTGAGAAAGCCAACACCTCGTGTTGTAGAAAATAAACGATCTATTCTACCGCATTAAGTGTTCAGCTAGAAGTAAATCTAAGGTAGTTCATGTCAAAAGACTAGCTCTATATTAGTTTCGTAAGATTTATGCCACATGGAAAAAATCCTTTAACGACAAAGAAGTAGTATTACAATTCTATTCGAGATGCGAATCATACATCCTAAAATTCCTACTAAAGTGTGAAATGTTAGAAAATATATATACAGATTAAACGAGCTAAATTCGGAACATATATGTGTTTCGGCTCAACTCCGCTCTAAGTGGCTGGCCAACAAAAGGTTGTCAAATAATTATAATATTATAAAAATCCAATACTTCAGCGGGCTGCTGGATTCTGAATTCATTCAAGAACTCATTCATAGGTGGTCAAACCACCTATCGCTTCCTAAAGCCGGCCACTCACGGTACAGCGGTGTCGTTCGACATAATCGGACAGAGGCGTTGTTCAATTTGTTGATATATCTGGTGCGCCCACACACCATACTGCGCCGCAGTATTTGTTCGGTTCTCGACCATGTCAATCAAACAATCATTTTAGCGTCTCTTACTTTGTGTATAACAAAGCGTTAAAAAAAACCTAAAATAAAACGTAGATTCTGGTGCAAAGAATTCAAGATTTTGGTGCAAAATAAATCTCGTCTGATCCTGCACCCGATTTACTGGACTGCAGTGCTAATTTTAATTCTCTTTTATAGGATGTTCTAAAATTGTTAATTTTTTTTCTTACATACTCTTTATTCACATCTTTGTTTACTTCTTGGAACTTTCAAACTAGAATGTCCATTGCCTGTTTTCGGGCGTTTCTATCATTATACGTTTTACATTTTATTCGCTATAAGCATTCTTGTTTTATATATAATTCAAAAAACTCTCTTAAAAAATTCTCGCTAAATCAAGCCATGTCGATTTTCTATAATATGATCAAAGCAAGTGTCTAGTTAAAAACGAAGTTAAACAACGCCGCTGTATCGTGAGTGGCCGGCTTTAGGCAAGCCCCTCTTTGGTTTATCTGAGCAGTCACATGGAGATTTTGAGCGGTGTTGCCAATATGTTTCTCAAATAAGTTGTTAACCATAAAATATTTACAGGAAAGAAAGAAAATAACTACAAACCATTAAGTTTATTTTTGTTATT